TTTATCAATTCCTATAACCTCTTCTAATTAAAGCAATAATAATTTATCCATGAATCAAATGCCATTCACAGTTCTAGTCAATTTACACACACTGGTTTATATAATCCTCATAAGGACTGTAGGATTTGTTATTAGCACCATTTCACATATGAGAAAAACAGAGGCACAGACATTAAGTGCCCAAAGTCATACAGCTGAATGTAAGACTCAAGATTTAAGCCAAGTTGGTAAGGCTGCAAAGTTCCATCTTTGAGAATATTCTAGATGCCTCGCCACTGTAAAGACCCTACAGTCAGGGAATAGTTCTGTGTATCCTTTGGTTTTCCTGAGGTTGTATTCTTAGCACCTGGCCTGGAGCCTTGTACATAGTAGGAACTCAATTTATACTTGCTAGATGAAAGAAGTTTGTTTTTGCATGTCTACAAGAGCATGCCTTTGTTTATCTTTCTGCCCGACCACATCTCAGCTGTACCTTGCATGTACCTATTGTTCAAATACTTGTTAAATAAAGACAGAAAGACAGAAGGAAAGTATAGGGCACAGGACTAGGTAATGAAAGGCAGGGAGGGAGACATGGAAAGTGGCAAACAGAGCAAGTACATGGAATTGGGAACTGGGTAGATTAAGGAAAAGGACAATGACTCAAAAAATTGGAGAGTCCAGTCAAGTCAGGGGAATCAGGGCCTTGGATGGACAATGCCATGGTGCACTGGAGAACAGAGAAAAGCCACAGGCACTGATTGTCACAGCTGCATGTTGCCAGGCATCCAGGGCTTGGGCCAAGGGCTGCCAGAGCTGATGACTTCTCAAGAAAAGGTAAAGATCAGAATCGTTTGTGAAATCCTTTGCTCTTAAACTGTAGAAAAGTATTTCAAATTGAAGGAAAAGCAAATGCTCTGGAGTAAAACTAAGGCAATGTAGCTAGTTACAGTCTTGAACGGAAAAGGCAGTGGACTTTTAAGGTGCCTAGAATATTAGCAGGAGGTCTTCTGGAACTTAGTCAATGCTCACCATGCAAAATAACATGTAAATGAACGTGGTTCAGTCTTTGAGGTAATAGCAGATTGCTTGGGTCTCAGCTCTTTCATGTTTTGAGTGTATACAGATAGTGCTTACTTGAGTTTCCCTGTGGCTTTCCAAAGCAGTTGATTTGGGGTCTTCAAATGAGCACTCACTTCGGGAAACAAGGAGACAAGTAAAGAAGCAAGGAAGGCCTGTAATCCCAGTTACTTGGGAGGTGGCGATCAAGAGGATCAAGGTTCCAGGTGAGCCCAGGCAACAGCAAGACTCCATCTCAACAAACAAACACATGCCTCTAATCCCTGTAATCCCAGCTACATAGAAGGCAGAAGTAGGATTGTGGTCTGAGGTCAATACAAGCAAAACGTTCAAGACTCTATCTGAAACATAACTAAAGTTAAAAGGGCTGGAGGCATGGCTTAGGTGGTCGAGCATCTACCTAGCAAATGTGAGGCTCTGGGTTCAAACACCAGAACCACCAAAAAAGAAGCTGGAAAGGAAGACAGGTGATAAAGCCAACCAGGAAAGCTCATGCACAAAGGACTAAACAACCAGCAGGGTGGCTTTGGGAGTACCTGTGCAGAATTGCAAATTTAGGACAATGAGAAAGGAAGGGGTGACTTGGTCAGGCTTCAGGAGAAGAGGTAGAGTGGGGTAGGGGGACAGTGAAAATGTGAGAGTAAGTAGGATGAAGAATAAAACCCAGGGAATGGGAGCCTCCTAGCCCTATTGCCTCTTTGTCCAGTGAATTAGGTTTACATAATAAACACCCCACTGGCTCCTGGAGATACAGAACAGAGGTTCTTTCAGACTGAGGAGTGACCCTGCTCAAACAAGTAAAAGGCAGTCAGGTAAAGGGTCTGTGTGTCTCATGTCTGATGCTTGTTCATTGCATAATCTTGAAGAACTATCTCACTTTCTCAAAGCTTCAGTCTCTGGATCTATAAAATGGGGATAATAACCAAATCAATACAGTAGATGTATTATGAGATTAACTCAGAATATTTCAGCCCAGCGCCTGGTGCATAGTATGACAAATGACAGTAACTGTTACTTTCATCTAGAAGTCTCCAGAATAATGTAGAAGGGACATTGCTAATCTAAGGTGGGGAAGATGATTTTCTATCTCTTCCTTTTATGAATTTCCATAATTGCGCTATCATTTTAAATGGTGTGCCCAAATGTTGACAAGTACTTCTATGAGGTCTTTCACCACCTTCACTAGATGGCAAGGAGTAGGAAGGCAGGGAGCCTATCTGCAGTGCTTGCTTTGGCCTCCCTAACACCAAGCAGATAACAGGCACAAAGGATGTGATCCATTTAGATGTGAGGGTTCCAACACACTCAGATGTAGTACCTAGTCTCATGGTCCAGGTACTATAGTCCCTATTTTACAGATGAGATGACTGAGGCACAGAGAGGTAGAGTAGATTGCTCAAGTTCACCAGGCAGGTAAATTGTAGCTCCATGGATGGTCTGGGCTCCCATCCGTGGTGAATGGAATGTCAGCCGAATAAATAATTTGATGCATTATAAAGGTTCATTTAGGAGGAGACAGTTTAATTAAATAGATTGGTGAGTAGGCGTTTGCACGTAAACATGGAACAAAACCACACATGTGGTCATGTATGAAAGGAGAATGGAACCTTGAGAAGATCAAGTGTAGCAAAGTAAAAAAATAAACGAAATAACAAATGAACGAGTAAATGAGTGTGTGAGTATGAGAGAAAGAGAGTGAAAGCTCGAGTATGTGGAAGTCTTTTCCAGCTCTGTGTACCACGAAATAAGGAACTTGGACATTTTCCTACTGGTGACAAAGAGACATTAAAGAGGAAAAGGCAGGACCTGATCAGTTTCACTTTTCCACAATCAACACTCTGATTACAATAAGGGTAGATCCCAAGTGAGAAGATACCTGTGAATCTGTAAGCAGGACACCAGTCTGGATACTCTTGAAGCAAAGAGATGAGGACTCATGGAGGTAGACTAAGCCTTCTAAAGTTTCATAAAAACCCTATGCATGAACAGCAAGAAATATTTCCAATGATAACTTGGAGTAGTTTGCAAGAACTCATGAGAGTAAAATTTACCTTGTCTAGAACAGGGTTCCCTCTCTGGATGGAGTTTTGAGTTGCACAAGCCTGTCTAGGAGTCACTTTGCTTCTTGCCCTGAACTGGCCACGTAAACACAAACTCAAACAGGCACTAAACTCTTGGAACTTCTTTACTTTGGGAATTTAAACACAAGGAACCACTAGGTTTTGCAGTGGACGCCATACCAAAACATAAATCACACCAAATTTGTTTGAATCTCATCTTTAGAAGGTTGTATGTTTTGACAAACCTTGCAGCAAATTTGGTCCCAGCTTTTAGATTTGTAATGAAACCTGAAACCAAGCATGCTGGCCTGCCTTGGGGTCCCCAAGCACAAGTTCCAAGCAGCCTCAGTGTAATACCTCTCCTAATCTCATCCTGGCAAGCAGCATTACTGTGTTGGGCTGCTGTGCTGGAAGTTTGGGGTGGAGTCTGCAAACAGTTCATGCAATTGTGGAAAAAGACTGATCAAGACAGCAATTTGGGGGCAATTTTGCAGCCTGAGCATTCTTCAGAGTTTAAATTGTAGAATTAGCAATACCTTATCCCCTGTTGGCTAGTGACTTGGAGATACCCCAAGCCATGATTGGGGCAGAAAGTTAATTAATCTGCTTATTAAAAGGAAGAAATGTCGCATTTGCATGCATTTGCATTCAGGTCTTGATTCTTCATGTTTTTGGTGGTCTTTGGCTTTCTTTCCTTACTGCCATTGACCTTGCTAGGTGTTAACTTAGTGCATTTAAATTTTCTGGGGCTGGGCTTTGTTTTAGGTGTCAAATGTCTGGTTATCATTGGTTCTGGCAGAATTTATTATTTTATAGATTCCCTAATTCTCTATAGGGATTTTTTTTTTCACTCCCATGAGCTGTTTGGGATTACTTGCAGTTGTCTTATACTGTAATTGGGAAAAATTTATACACTTGACAAATTTCAGAAAATGAAGACTTTGTTTCCATCAGAGGGGCATGTTATTTGGGATGATCCATTCAATTCTCTGCAATCTCCTACTTAGCTGAATTCTCCATGGTCATTCTTGTGGAAGTTTTCTCCTTTCCTTTTCGTATCTTATTGGGAGATCTGCTTTTGAATTTTTCCCCCCTAACTCCTAGGGAAAAGAAACCATTGCCTCATGGCTATATTTTAGAAGTTTTACCTTTAGGATGATTGTTTTTACCTGAAAATGCTCAGGTAACCTGAATCCAAGCCCCCTTAAACCTCCTTCTAAGGTCTTGAATAAAGTCTTGGGAGGTGAAGGAGGGGGTTGGGCAGAGGGGTGATTTGGAAGGTGAGTGGGTGGGTGGGGAATGCAAAGATACCTCCAGCTCTTGGAAGGACAGCTTCCAAAACTCTCCAGGCAGCTTAGAGCCTGAAAATCTTCTCAAGGGAGTGAATCACCAGCTGGAACTCTGGGGACCAAAGTGCCAGTGTTTCTGTATTTGGTAGTTATCACATTTCTGATACAACAGTGTGGCTGTCGGGTGAGTGGCTCGGGCAGTGGTTGAACCACCTCTATGCTAACAAGCTTAGCAATCAGGTCGTGAAGGGTCCTGGCTGGAGGAAGAAAAAAAAATTAAAAGCAAGCCTTAGACCTCTTGTCAGACTATGAGGAGAATTATATTTTTGAACTAGTCTACAGTGCGGACAGGAAATGACCTCTCCACAAACTGCTTCTTTAAAAACAAGCAGTAGTGCCTCCAGCTTCTCCCAGTCTCTTCTCCCTCTCTCCCTCCCTCTCCCATCTTCTCCCTCCTTCCCTCCCTCCCAACCTCCCTCCCTCCTCTCCTTTCTCTCCCTCTCTGAGCTCCTGCGCTCTCCCTCCTCTCCCGTGCTCCCTCCCTCCCTGCTTCCCTCCCTCCTCCCTCCTCCCGCTGCCTCTCCTCTCTCGCTATAGAGGGCTCCCACAGCACTTCCCAGCCAGTGTGTTCTGCCTGCCTGCCTGCCTCTGTGTGTGTGTGAGCGTGTGTGCGTCTACTTTGTACTGTGAAGAACACAGCCCATGTGCTCTGCATGGACGTTACTGATAGTCTGTTGAGCTTGATTTTCGACAAGCAGGCAAGATGTCCAGCACACCACATGACCCCTTCTATTCTTCTCCTTTCGGCCCATTTTATAGGAGACATACACCCTACATGGTACAGCCAGAGTACCGAATCTATGAGATGAACAAGAGACTGCAGTCTCGCACAGAGGTAAGTACTCCAACCTTGGCTGTGGGTTTGTGGATTTTTTCAAAACTGTGCCTGGGCTTTTCTTGGGGTTTCTGGCTCAATTCTATGGGAAGTGTCCCACTAGCTACTACCACGTAGGTAGAAATGAGCACCAGGATAAAGCCACTAGTTGGGACGCCGGTTTTTTAGAAACAGCAACTCTTGGGGCAGAGGACAGTTTCTGCTGGAATCTTGAAATAGACAACCCAGCACTTGGTCTGCCTGCTGGGTCTCCAGAAAGGCTTCTCCCCTAGAACTCTGGTGCTTGCAGGCTCTGAGATGTTCCTGTTTCTTGAGATAGAATTCCAAGGGATTTTGTGATCATTTGCATCTGGTAAAGTGCATGTATGTGTATATCTGTATATCTTTATAAATACCAGAGAAAGTCTGCTTCGACCTGTGTTTGCTTTTCAAACTCATCAAAATCCAGGTAAAGGGGGCAAAAGAGTAGCCCTGCATACTTTTCAGAACTAGCCCTGGAGAAACACACCGTTGTGCATTTGCATGTTAAATTCAGAAACCAGTTGCTTGGGGCAAGAGGATTCTCCACTTTCTCTTCTTGCAGATGGCTGTGCCTGAGGACTCTACCTTGGGACAGGAGTTGGCTGAGCATTCAAACCAGCTGTAGTTTTTGTACATTTGTGATCTGTGATCTTGTGCCTTAGAGAGAGAGAAAGAGAGAGGGGGAGAGAGAGAGAGAGAGAGAGAGAGAGAGAGAGAGAGAGATTGAGAGAGAGAGAGAGAGAGAGAAACTCTGGGAGCAGAGAGACCAGGACTTTCAGAACTTTCTAAATGCAAAACTCCACACTCACCTCCTGCAATTTAAATATTTAATGTCACTTGACTTTTTCTTTAGCTGACTGGCAGAGCAGACTGTGGGGCAGTCCGTTTGCTTTAAGATGGGGCTTTGTAATGAAGTATTCTGAGTAGGAGTTTGTTATATAGGTGCACAAAAGTCACTTTAGGAAGTAGAAATCCCTGAACTGACTTTTCTCAGCAGTGTCCAAATACCCAGATGATTTATGCCAGAGAGCTTTTGGGGAATAGCTTGGTGGGTATTTAGAATGAAGATCGACTTTTAACTCTGGGAAGGGATTCCATTAAGTTTGTATTATAAAATAAAACACATTTGCTTAATTATCACGGGAGCCGTAGAGAATTCATGACGTTTGTTTAATGTATTTAATACGGCTGACTAACAAATGTGACCTGCTTTCTGATTGGCTAATTGCTGGACAAGGACTTGTGTCTTTCTAAAAGCTGGGTGTCTTTATCACTGCTATTTTCTTTATATGTTAACACAACCATAGATGTTCAATATTATTGCTGGCAGGTCTTTCTGGAAGCCATCAGCATCTATGGAAGTGAAGTGTAAACTTGTGTGCAGTAAACGTGTGTTGTCTCTGTGTTACTTTGTGTCTGTGCATTACAGTTTGTATGTTTCATTGAAATCTTTGCAACTGTGTGTTGAAATCTTAAATTCCTGCATAAGTGATCAGCCGACATAGCCTGCTTTCAGAATTGGTACCTTAGAGAATGTCTTGAAGTTCAGGCACACATTAATTACAAAACATTTCTGAAAGAAAATGTCTTGTAAAGTATGATTAGTTTTTCAAAAAGTGACCAGAGACCACTATGTCTCAGTTCTTGAACAGCAACTGAATTGACAAATAATCTGTGTCAGCTTGGATGTTAGAAAGTTTCTGAGGCTTCACAAATGGGTTTCCCCCCATTCTCCTGTGGAGAGGTCTGGGTGCCTGTGCGCCTGTGCTCAGTGCTGGGCAGCTGGGAGGAGGGAGACCTCTCCAGACTTCCCCACACTGGCCCTCACACAAACCTGCAGGATGCAGTCAGTTCTGCTTTTGTGACAAGACATTTAAAAAGGGTCCCATTAGTGGTATACTTTTCAAAAATGGCACAGGATCTTTTGTCAGAGCTAAGCTCAGGAACTCCCAACTTTTAAATTATGGGGTATGAGTTTGAAAGACTTTACTCTGAGTAGAAAAAACTTCATAGCTGAAGAACTGGGAAAGCTGGCTCCAATAAATTTTAGAGTTTTTAATTCTGTCTGTGCCAGTTAAAGCTCTATGAACGATTTTTGAGTGTGTTCTAGAACCAATCTTTGTACATTTCCCTCCTCATTAGATCTTTTTAACAATTATCAAAATAATGGCCCTGCTACTTCTTTTTTTTTCTTTGCCAAGCAACAAAAGCGGTTTTATAAACCCAAATCATAAATTTGGTTTCATTTCATATGAAAAAAGGAAGGAATCATATAATTGCTCCTAAGAAATTTAAAATATCAAATTAAGCATCAAATTTTGACTATGATGTGTATTTAGAGAAAAAATAACTTTACATGAAAAAATTACACTTTGGCTTTACCAATGATGACTATTTATGATAAAGCTGTTTTGAGCACTGGAATAGCATTGGCTATAGTAAAATGCAATGATACCCAGAAGAATTATCAGTTTGTTTACACAAATGATCAAACAGATTATTGAGTGATCACTTTTGGAATTTAACCAATGCATACAACCAATACAACCATTTGTGTGTTTCTCTCTCTCTCTCTCTCTCATACACACACACACACACACACACACACACACACTCACACACACACACACACGTGTGCACGCACATACACCTGGGTGATACTTTCAACTCTCTAACTCTCCATTCCTCTTAAAAACGTGTGCTTGGCTAGAAAGAAATTACAGTAAATCGGTTTGTGTTGAAGAAATTACAATAAAGTTTGTAGAAATTTTCTAGAGAAGACATCAGGCAGTGTGAGTTTGCAGAACACAGGATTGCAAGTTAATCCCATTTCTAAGTCTTCTGTCACTTACTAACTAGTGAGTGTGGGTCTTGATTTCCTCATTTACAAATTACCTTCCCTTTACTTCAGAAATTCAGACTGAGTTTTCCTTAGTACCACAAACATTATGACACAGAGTAAAGATCCACAGACACTAGCTTTGTTTTTGCCTATGAGATGTAACTCAAAATCACTAATGGTACTGAAATAATAGGTTTTTAGTGGATTTAAAGGTAGCACTGAGAGCTAGCAGTGTCTGCAACAAGTAGGAACTCAATTAATAGTTGTTGACTAGCCAGCCCAGAAACCCAATAGATAAAAGGTGAAAGTGGACTTGCATATCATGATGTCATTTAGATCCTTAATCTTTGTGGCCAGGTAAAGCAAGTGTCTTAGAGATTCCAGGATCTCACCTCCCTTGAAAGGAAGGTGAATGCATTAAAAAGCCAACAATGAAAACAAAAATATACTTTAAATGCTGCCGACTATTCTGAGAAATAAAATCTCTTTGCAACATAAGAATTTCATTGGATTTTGATAAATGGGTGGGTCCCCCCCCCACCAAATGAAATTAAGAGAAACTTTGAGCTTTGTGTCACTGTTGTTGTTCATAGGCAGCAGAAAAGGGTTACATTTCCTGTTGTGCGTGTTACTGTAAATTGACCTTATATCTTCCAAAATTCCTGTGTTTGAAAGGTTTCACTGTTCCAAATGTATTTTGGAAGAATACAACTGCACAATTAAATAGTTTCACATTGCCCACAGAGGACAGTCAGATAGGACATAAAGAGATTTTTCTGAAGATTTCAAGATTTGTTCATGAAAAGCTTCAATGAAAACAACAAATATATATATTTTTTATTTGCTGTGGTCTGCACTATGGGATGAAAATGTAAGTGTGATATCTGAAAAAAGATTGTAGTGACTTTCATTTTAAGCAAAGGATTTAAGTAATTTAATTATTATAGAATTTAAGAGAGTTCACCAAGTAGAGTTATAAAAACCTTTGTTTTTATGGATAAGTTTTCAACATTTTGTTTCTTCATTCAAATAACCAAAAAAAGTCCTCATTCAGATGAAGATTTTAAAAGTTCCTGTATTTTTTTATGTTGGCATCATGGTAATTTAAATAAAACACCAGGAGAGCATGAGTGCCCTTATGTATTTTTATTTCTTTTATTAATTTTACACATCCCATTCCAAAAGAGAAATCTATGATTACAACCGGAAGCAGTTCACACGAGGATTTTATTAGAATTACAGTGCTTAGTTTTACAGGATTTAATGCGAACATTCAAAATGTTTGAAGACCTTGAAATTCAAATCTGCTGCTTTTCACCCCTCCTCAGCTCAGCTCAAACTCCCTGGGGAGGGAGTGGGAGGGGAGGAGAGAGTCAGTCCTCTCTTCTTTCAGCTACATTTTTATATACTCAGTCACAGGGTTTCACATTGTAACATCATGTTTATTCATGGAATAGCTCCATATCACTGATGTTCAGATGGAAACTAGTTAAAATGAGATTGGGTTTTTTGGCTAAGTGGAAAAAAAGAAAACTGCTTTGTTGATAACTTGGGAGTTCCCCCCACCCTAGAAATTTAGAAAGAAAACTGTTGCTGGCATCCTGTGATATATACACGAATGATTTTCAGTGCTTTAAAAAAAGAGCTTTTTTTTTTTAAAAAAAAAAAAGTTTTTGAAGGGGCTTGGTGAGGGTTGGGGGAGGGGCTTGGTGGTGGTAAGGACGGCTATTTTGAAAATGTTAAATGAAACCAAAAGTGCACTTTTAAAAATGAGAAGTTCCAAAGTTCTTATTTTTCAGGCTCTCTACATGGCCTCAGAAAACAAATTTCAGGACTCTTGCTCTGATTTTATTTTCCTGAGGTCTTTTATTTTTTTATTTTTTTTTAACTATGGGAACTGTTTTTAATTAAAAATTGCTGCAAACTAACTATTTGAAGGAGGCCAAAAAGGGAAAAAAAAAAAATCTTTCAACCTCCATTCAACACAGATTCTTATCAGCTGAAAATCAATGCACATTTAAATTTCTCCCTTTTTGGTGTGTAAATTATGATGTAAGATTTAAACGCTGTGAATTTTTTGAACATTTAGGTTTTTGTTTGGGTTTCAGAAAGAAATTAATTTAAATTGTATGAGAGC